AGATCTTTATCACACAGCGTTATTTGATAGAATTCCTCTGGGGCAAGCAGACCCACAGCTAGGAGGCAGCACCTGGGGTTCTAACGGCCAAGGGAGGGTCTCTCAACTCTTGGGTCAGAACCCTCAATTACCTTGTTCTTAGTTATTCTGCGGGCAAAGTGAACGAAGGTGAGCTACAGGGAGACAAACCTCTTGGGAGCCGTGGAACGCAGGAGTCAGTGTGGCGAGACAGGGGTACGGGACCATGCAAGCCAAGGTTTTAATCTTACTCCTGTGGAGGATGGGATGCAGGGATCCAAGGTGGGAATTCGAGAGACACTTTCTTGGGGTGCTGATGCTGTTAATCTTATCACGTATATGGAAGCTTAACTTTTTAGTTGATGTATTGTCGTTTTATTGTCTATTATTCTGTGTGCATTACGCATTCTTTGCGATATGTGAATGAAACAATTCCTTAAGTTAAAATTAAATAAAGATGTAGGGGAAGCTGTCTAGGATGGGGTGCAAAAGGCAGAACTGAGTCAGTCTTCATTCTGGTTTAGCAGAACGTGGTGGACATTGGGGAAGATATCCAATGTGTAAGGAAAAAGAAAGGCTTCTTAGAGAAAAGGACATGGAAAAGAGAAGACATGGAGGATCACGTTTGGGATATTAATACGAGGTCAGGCTAGCCATTAACTTGGGAGTACCCCAGTTGTGTCTTTACCCTCGTACCCATCTTCCAGGCACACATCCATGGAAAAGCAACCTAGGGAGTGCAAACCATAAAGTGCATTCTCTAATCTCACATACTTAAGTCTATGTTTCAAGACCTGAAATCAAACCGAAATGCAAGCTGTGAGGGATCTTTTTTTCTGAAGATGGCCATACCTCCCCTTCCATATTTGAGTCTCTGGGACTGCTTTGTGTTGGATTGGAATGTCTGCTTTCTCCGTGCTGTATAGGCTGTGCCTGGGACACCTTTTGCTCTGAAAGAGACGGTAGTAAGTTCAAAGGGACCATAGTTAGCACAGGGGAGAGAGGATGGGAAGCAATTTAAAAGATGAGAATTTATATGAAGAAAAACTCTTCACCTCCTCCCTTTATAATGCAATAAGGCTTCCATGTTTAGCTGTGGCCTCCATGGAGCTCCTATGAGTATAAAGAAAAACTTAGCAAATGCTGATGTAGTCTTGCTGCTTAAGAACTGTACTCTTGAGTACAGAGATAGCTCAGTGGTTTAAGGGTATTTCTGTAACTCCAGTTCCAGAGAATCCAACCCCTTCTGGACTCTGTTAGCTCCTGCAGGCATATGGTCAGCGCACATACTATTCAGACATGTATCGTATTAGTTAGGGTTACCATTGTTATAATGAAACACCACGACCAAAGGCAAGTCAGGCAGGGAAAGGTTTATTTGGCTCACCCTTCCACACCATAGTCTTATCACTGAAGGAAAATCAGGACAGGAACTCAAGCAGTTCTGGAATCCAGAGACGGTAGCTGATATAGAAGCCATGGAGGGGTGCAACTTACTGGCTTCTTCATCCTACTTTTTAAAATAGATCCCAAGACTGCCAGGCCAGGGATGGAAGCACCCACAATGGGCTAGGTCCTCCCCCTATCAAGCATTAGTTAAGAGAATACCCTACAGCTGGATCTTATGGAAGTATTTTTCTCAACTGAGGTTCCCTATTTTCAGATGACTCTAGCTTCTGTCGAGCTGGTATAAAACTAACCAGCACACATGTACATGCACATAAAACGGATGAATGTTTTTAAGGAACTGTACTTCAGATCTACATTTCCTGTACTGGGATCCTAGATTCACTGCTCACCCACCTATGTGATATCAAGCAAGTGACAAACTCCCTGACTGCTCAAAAGATCTGGAGTTTTCTTCCCCAGAAACTGTACAATGAGAGTATAATATATGTCTCATAAGTTTGTCAGAATTAAATAAATTTAATAAAATATGTAGTACACTATGAGAAAGTTGATAGGGAGAATATTGCCATGACTGTCATAATTACTACAGTTGCTACTTTATTGTTACTGTTGTCTTGGCCACAGAAAATAGGTTCAAAACTTACATAGGGACTTGAAATCCTCACTGAAAATATGATCTAGATCATTCTAAGTAGATGCCAAGTAGATTCAGCTCATGTACACAGAAGCTAGCCAAGAGAACAACTAATGATACAGTCGTATGAGTGTGTGACTGTGACATGGAAAGCATTGGCCATGACAGCAGAGTTGGTGGGCATCTCTTGAGGGAATGTATGTGGGTATGAGAAGATACACAACAGGATGTCATTTGGGGTACAATGGAGTGACTAGAGAGATATGTGGAAAACGATTAAGTGTAGGATTGCGTTTCAGGTCCAGACCCACATTCATGAAAATGATCCTTGGGAACTCCCTTGTCGTTGATCTCCCAGGTTTCACTTACTGGTGCCCATCTGTAGTTTTGTGGGGCCATCCAGCATCCTTGGACATATATCTTTAATTCTGCCACTCTTATTACAAGGGGTATGGATGGCTCCATTAGTCATCTTCACGGTCTCCTCCATCTTTCCCATGTTCTCTACGCTGTCTCTTCTTTCTCTTAGTTAATATTTAAGAACCTTCATGTATCTCCTATGGCCCGACTTGTTTTTCATAGCAAATGTCGAGAATTTCCTCCTCTGTGCACATCTTAACTTAGAAAAGTGGAGTTCCCGAAGACAGAAAGGTAGCCGTGGAGATGGGAGGGGGAAGCCAGAATGGAAGCAGAGCCTGCTCCAGGCAATAGTTTGAGGGAGGAGGGGGGAGAGGTAGAATCTGTCCTGGCCATAGCTTGAAGGAGAAAGGCATCAGCTGTAAACTTGCAGGAGCTGCCACCCTACCCGACGGAAAGTCAGGCTGGGGAAGGGAGTCGGGTTCTCTCCAGTGGACACGGGTGAAGCTCCGTGGATGTCTCTTCAAGGACACAATATTATTTGAGTACCTTCAGAGGGATAAAGGTGGGAACGGACCCGAGAGGCTGGTATTCCTTCAGTCCAGGCATGAATTGCTAAAACACCAAATTGGGTTGATTGCAATGTGCTGGCGAACTGACAGAGAACACACATTGACAGGGCTTGGGGCCAAATGGAAATGGGATAAAAATTGCAAGAGTGGACATACTCTGGCTCTGCACAGTATGCTACTGTCCTGGTTATTGGCAGGCACCAGGGAGGGAGAGGAAGGAACAAGTTTCTCCCCACCAGCTCTTGGCTGGCTGCATCCTTTAGATCTTCTCTGAGATGGGTGAAGAGTCAATGCTGGTATTTAACAGTTTAAAGCTTCTGGCTCTCGTGTAATTTTACTTAGAAAAGCTCTTTTCCATGAGGGAAGTTTTTCCCCCAGCGGCAGAGTCTCATGTAGGCAAGACTGCCCTTGAATTCCTGACATAGACCACTGTGTCATTTTCCAGAGGCAGCCATGTTACTTGACAACACGTGGGGTGGCTTAAGATGTTTTTTTCAGTTTGCCTCTACCCCTGAGTGCACGGATTTTGGGAATGTGCCACTACACATAGCACTAAAGTTAGGGCTTCTGTAAGTCAGTGACATGCTACAGGTAGTCCCTGCACCTTTTCAGCAAGGACTTGAGATCATTAGATACCTGGGAGAGAGAGGTCTTAACATCTGTTGCTGTGGAAGTCAACACACACAGGGCAAGGATTTCTCCAGGGGTCCAGAGAGATGTGTAAAAACACAAGCCATAGCCGTTGTTACTCAGGGTCAGCATTCATCTTAGTGTTAGCTGCAAAACAGGAAAACTATGCCATCTCAGTCGATAAACACTCAGGCTGCTGCTTGCAATACCCGACAACAGATTAGACTTCTTTGTCTACTCTGTGGGCATCCCCTATTATTCACAAACGGAAGTGAGTGCTTCGTTCTTAACCAAACAAGTATAAGTGCAAATGTGTAGCATGTGCACGCGAATGAACACTGCTGGAAAACTGTAGCGCAAGCATTGAGTTGTTACTTCCAGAGAGGAAGCGAAGGGTGTTTGAGAGCTGACATGCACAGCTACACCTTCCTTGGCCATGTCTTGGGCACAAGGAAGAAAATGGTGCAACTTCATAATTTGCTACTTTCTGTTTCTCGTTGTCTGGGACATGGTAGTCGGCCATGGGGATCTTTCATGTTCCTCTTATACAGCTTGTGACTGACCCAAGCTTAAAATGATGCTATTTTATTTCCTCAAAGTTCTAGAGCGGTGGTTCTTAACCTGTGGGTCATGACCCCTTTGGGGAGCAAATGACCCTTTCACAGGGTTTTGTCCTGCATATCAGATATTTACATTATAATTAATAACAGTAGCAAATTTGCCGCCATGAAATAACAGTGAAATAGTTTTACGGTTGGGGGCCACCACAACACAAGGAACTCTATTAAAGGGTTGCAGCATTAGGAAAGTGGAGGACAACTATTCTAGAAGGTTAAAATTTTAGTGCCTAGGCTTGATCTGATTCTTTCTAGGGTTTCAGAGGTAGAATTTGTTCCATGCCTCTCTTATAGCTTCTGGGTTTTGCCAGCAATCCTTGATATTCCTCAGTCTTCAGACGTATCTCAATATTTTCTGTCTCTACCTTCTGATAGAATTCTACTGTTTCAATCTCTCAGTTTCCAAATCCAGCATGACTTCTTGTTAACATGGTAACACCTCCAGACCCTGTTTCCAAAATAAGTCACATTCATAGATAACAGAGAGTTAGGAATTCAAGCTACCATCTTTGGGAGACACACTTCTATCACCAGTCTTCCTTTCTGTGCTGTTTTCTTTTGTGGTGGAATAGAATCTACACTCTTGTAAGTTTGACCAAGGGGGTAGACTAAATGCATGAATACTGAGACTCTAGTTATTTCAATGTCAATCTTATCACCCAGTAAAGTCATTGCCATAGCTGGCGGAGTAAACACCTTGCTTGGTTTTTGATTGCTTCACCATTCTTCATTAAACTGGGTCTTTGTTCTTTTTCTCTGCAGAAACCTACAGAACCATGGCGACTCCTTCTGCTGCCTTTGAGGCCCTTATGACTGGCGTGACGAGCTGGGATATCCCTGAGGATGCTATCCCATGCGAACTGCTTCTTATTGGAGAGGCTTCATTTCCTGTGATGGTGAATGACATGGGCCAGGTCCTCATTGCTGCCTCTACCTATGGCAGAGGCCGCATGGTGGTAGTAGCTCATGAGGACTACTTGGTGGAAAGCCAACTCTTTGTCTTTCTCGTCAATGCCATAGGATGGCTTCGTTCCTCCTCGGAGTCGGCCATTGGTATACACTCATCTTTAGCACCGTTGGTGAAAATCCTTGAGAGCTGTGGAATAGAGTCAACTATTGAGCCCGAAGTGAACGACTCCATGGGAGTTTACTGTATTGATGCCTACAATGAAACCATGACTGATAAGCTGGTCCAGTTTGTGAAACGCGGAGGCGGCTTGCTCATAGGAGGCCAAGCCTGGGATTGGGCTAACCAGGGTGAAGATGAAAGAGTTCTGTTCACATTTCCTGGGAATCTGGTGACCAGTGTGGCTGGTGTGTACTTCACTGACAACAAAGCAGACACAGGTTTCTATAAAGTTTCTAAGAAGATGCCTAAGATTCCTGTCTTAGTTAGGTGAGTATCTTACTGAGGTGGGCAGTTGGCCTCATATTAAAAAGCAGACATGATTCCGTCTTCAGGTTCCTTCCAGACTGACAGAAAAGAATCTGAAACTCAGATATGTATTTGCCACAGTCTGTTAGGTTTTTGTTTTAATACTCCGAGGCTCTGGATGAGCAACGTCTCCTTGACACTGCCTCCTCAGACTAATCCACTTAGCTCTTTGAGGAGAAGAATTTCTATTGAGCCTGATATTCTTCAGCACTTAGATTAATAAAAAATACCATTGACCTCGAGAATTGGCATGCTTTCCTTACAGTAAAAAGGATGCTATTAGGAAAAAGAAAAACAGAGCAATCCTATGGGCCAAAGTCTGGAGGGCTGTGAGAAGCATTTAGAAATGTTTACATGGGGTTAGGATGGAGATAGGAAGTTGTGGGTTTGGAAGTTGAGTTGAAAAGAGATGGTACAGTTTTAAATATGCTAAGCTTTTAAAGAGACTTCTTATCTCTGGGGTCAAATGATCATCTGCAAATGGAGGAGACAATGCTGGTACAAAGGCAAACCTCACTAAAGGTTCTGGAGAGTGTACCCCAGTGTGTTTTACAGACATACAGTGTTGTCCATGCAACATATTAATAAGCACTCAGCAAGCATTCATTAGGTGTGTAATTAGATTGAGGAATGAGGGGTCCTCAAAGCTGCAGTACTCTCAAGAGCAGAAAATGTACACTAGGCCACTTGCCATTATAAATAAGAATTCTTAGCTTTCTCAGAACAAAGAACACTGTCATCCTGACTGATGGGAGCAAAGTAAGTCAGATTGGGTAAGGAAGATCCAGTGAGGCCTTTTAGAAGAATGATAAATAAATGTTCATGACAAATTAATCAGACAAGCTGTGTCCTCTCTATTTTTGGAAAGTCACCTTGTCTCATTTCAACCCCAAATTGAGGCTTCTGCAATGAGTTCAAACTCCCTTTTGGTTTATTTACCCATTAGTTATTCCAGATTCCATATATTGCCTCAGATATTATTTCTTATCTTGAGCATGAGTTACAAAGATTGGAGCATGAACAGCATGGAAGTGTCTCTGGTGACAGTGTCTGGAAGACGAGTAAAACACCGTGTAACTATGCAGTAAGGCATGGTGCATCCTAGTGCAGAAGAATCTGGAAATGAATCTAAGGCTAGCAACTGTACAGTGTGTTCTTAGACTTTTCTTCCAACTCTTTCCATCTAGAAGGAGAGTGTCAGGGTGCAACCTCTGGGTTAACCTTTTAGGTACCATTCCCTTCAGAGCTTCTGGCCAGTGTGATCCTTGTATGTTCCCAGCGTTATCAGGCATGCACGGAAATGAACGTCGGGCAAATGATCATAGTCTGCACACTCAAGTGCTCTAAACACATTCACTTAAATACCACGTTGAAGCCTGGATTAGCCAACTTTCAAGTTGATGTTCTATGTGTCCCTTCCATCCTGAATATTAGTGAAGTGATACTGGCCACAGATTATCTTTTGACTTCCAGAATACTCTAAGAGATTTTCAAATTTTGAAAGTTGAAAATGAACATTAGCTTGTCTCCCCAAGTGGCTTAGAAAACAGCAGAGCAGGTGTAGACAAATATTTGCAAGAAGGATCTGCAAATCCTTAGAGGTTGTTGATAGTTCTTTGGTGAACAAATATTCACCACAGAAATATGTAGGATAGATTAATCAGTAAAATCAATGATTGCTTAATTGTAAAAAAAACCCAGCAAAGTGATGACCACTAGATAAACTGACAATGACAACAAAAGAGAATTAAAAATTTCAAGAATGGAAGGAGGATCACTAATATAGATCTACAGAAATTAAAAGGATAACAAGAGAATTGATATAATCTTATATTTTTGGTTGTGAGCCTAGCCTTTAACGGCTGAACCATCTCTCCAGCCCGAGAATTGATATAATCTATACCAGCAAATTCTTCAATTCAGATGAAATGGGAAGAATTCTTGATTGACACAATTTATGAAATTAAACATAAGAAAAGAGGCAATGTATACTAAAATAGGTTGGACTGTAATTACAGCACCTAGTATATACAAGGTAGCTTCCTGGAGTGAATTCTAGAGGACATTAACAGAAAAATAAGGAAAATTTATACAGTTTTCCAGGCATGGTGACACATGCTTTTAATCCAGTCACTCAGGAGGCAGATACAGCCAGATCTGTACATAGCAAGTTCCAGGACAGCCTGGTCTACATAGTGAGTTATAGGTCAACCAAAACTACGTAGTGAGACTTTGTCAATAATTGTAATAATAACTTTATTATTGTTGTTGTTGTTAGTATAACAAAAAATTAGAGATTTTTGTTCATTGACAGAGCTCCTTATAAAATCCACACTAGCCATTGATTAGTGTCCCTCAGCACCCTGAATACTGGGATAATTGTTCACTACCTGTCTAGTTAAGTGAGGTTTAGTGATTAGCACTTGACCTGTGTGAAGGTCTTAGTTCTACTAACTAAACCATGACTGTTTAACATGTTATCAGTAGTTATGTCAACGATACTAAGAAACTCTCTGTACTATGCAACTTATCCATTTATTACATTTTAAAATGGAAATTTTATTTAAAAACCAACAAGAGCACAAACAGCATTCCAGTCCCTGAAAGACTTACCGATAACTTTTATCAAACTTTTGAGGAGCAAATCAAGATTGATTCAGAATGTAAGAGTAAAACATCCCCAACTTTAGTCTTTCACCAACATTTCTGTCATATTAAAATCAGAGAAAGGGCTAGAGAGATAATTGAGTAGATAAACATCTTTCTGTTAGCATTACAACTTGAAATGGATATCCAAGAGTCCACACACACACACACACAGACACACACACACACACACACACACACACAAGCCAGTCAGAGTAGCTTACCTGTAATCTCAACATTGAAGAGGGATAGAAGAAGGGTGTCTGGGGCTTGCTGGCCAGGCAGCCCAGCTCAGTTGGTGAGATCAGGTCCACCAAGAGACTCTGTCTGAGAAAATAAGGCAGAAAGTGATTGATTGAGAAAGGTGCCTAACCAATACCAAACTCTGACATGTACACATACCACACACACACACACACACACACACACACACACACACACAAACACACAAATAAAACTAGAGAAAGACATTTTGAGGGAGCAAAAAAAAAGAACCTACAAAACAATATCCCATAGACGAAAAGTTCTTTTTTACTTTTTCTTTTTTTGTCTTTGTTTTTGTTTCTTTTTTTGAGGCAGGGTTTCTCTGTGTAACAGCCCCGACTCTCCTGGAACTTACTCTGTAGACCAGGCTGGCTTCAAACTCACAGTAATCCACCTGCAGCCCTGACTCTCCTTGAACTCGCTCTGTAGACCAGGCTGGCTTGAAACTCACAGTAATCCACCTGCCTCTGCCTCCCAAGTGCTGGGATTAAAGGTGTGTGCCACCACAGCCTGGCACAATACTCTTAATTAAATATTAACAAGAGAAATAGTTTAATATATAAAAGAATAGTACATCATAGCAAAATTCAGCTGTCCTACATATAAATGACTGGCTTAGTAATCTGAAGCCAAGCTAATTTAGCGTGGTAACTAGAAAAAATACGGTATACAACTCAATAGATGCATACAAAATGTTTGACAATGATTTCATACTAGATCATGATAAAATGTCAAAAAAACTCAATATAAAAATAATTTCTTCAGTCCAAAAAAAGGCAATCATTTTGTTCTGTTGGTTTTATTTTGTTTTGTTGCAATTTTCAAGTAAAGGTCTCACATAGTACAGGCTAGTCTTGAATTTACTGTACAGACGAATCTGCTCTTGAACTTTAAATCCTGCTGCACCAACTTCCCAAGTTCTGGGATTGCAGGTATGTGCCTTCGTGTCCAGCTATAAAAACATTGCTAAAGATGGAATGTGGGAGTGTTTTTACCTTAGCAATGAGAACAAGACAAGAATAATACTGGTGCTATCTTACTATCCACCATTGTCCTGAAAGCACTCACCAGGGCCATGGGACAAGAAAAGGAGACAGAGATTGAAAATTGGGAAGCAGACTTTTAGACATGTCTGAATATACCAAAGTATAACAATAGCTATTAACAAAATCTAAGAACTGTACAATATACCCCAATAAAAGAATTATGAATGTGGTCTCTCAAACTATCTTTTAACAATGTATTATTATTGTTGTTGTTATTCTTTGTGTGTAGGGGAGAGAAGGGTGTGGGAGAAGAAGGGGTATGTTCACGGCACACTTGTGGAGGTCAGGAGACAACAGAATCCGTTCTGTCCTTTGTCCTTTTCGTGGAATTTAGGGCTTGAACTCAGGTCTCCAGGCTTGTGCAACAAATACCGTTACCCACTGAGCCTTCCTCCAACAGACTGCCTCACTGCACTGTGTTCCCCCTCCTGATGAATTTATGGTACAGTGCCTGCGTGGTAAAGTGGATGGTGTGATTGAAACACAGTGTGGTTGGCGTAAGGGTAGACAGAGTGGCCATTGAAACAAACTGCATAGTTCAGAGGCGTTTACCCAATGAGGAAAGAGCAGTGTTTCCGACACATAGTTCTGGAACAAGAAACCCTGAGAGGAAAGATGAGCCTTAACATATTTCATAAGATACTCAAGAACAGGTCTAGACCCAATCACAAATGAAAAACTAAAAACTTCTAAATGGTAGCACAGGATAAAAGAAAGCAAAAGCAAAACAAAATGACAACAAACAGCAAACAGAAAAAAAAAACCTGCAGCTTTGAGTTAGGCAGATCACCTGTAGAAGACAATGTACAAGACCACAAAATGTAAAGGTCGGCAGCATCTCAGCCATCGCTTTCCTAAATGTTGCCCCCAACGAAATGAAGTCGTGTCCTCCCCCAAACTTCACATAACACGTTATCTTCTTATCTCTGGGTACACTGAGATTTCCTCCTTCATCTTGGCTCTTGTGGAAATGCTGCGAGGAAGAGGAGAGTCACTGGAAGGCATTGGTCTTGTTTGCTGTGGGTTCATAGACGGTGGAGGGTCCGGTAGGTCATGTGGCAGCTGTGTTTTAGGTTTTCGAGGACTCCCCAATCCGTTTTCTATAATGGCTCTGTCAGTTGACATTCCTACCAACGGTGTGCAGGAATTGCCCTTTCTTCATCATTCTCATCAGACTTGATGTCTTTCGGCAATTTGGTAATACCCATTCTAATAGATGGGGAGCGGTCTCCCACTGTGGATTTGATTTGCATTTTCTTGGTGAATGGTGATAGTAGGCACCTTTCTGTAGACCTGTTGACCATCTCTATGCCGTAGTGTGTAGTGATCTTGCCCATTGTATAGTGTACTGAAGTTCTGGGCTGATCATGATTGGTTCCTGTGGTGTGTTTTCCCAAACAAATAATCCTGACCTTTTTTTTTCCCCCTCCATCTTCTCTTACTCATATGTATTCCAGATTCTTCCTTTCCCATAGGTTTCTGATTCATCTGCCCATTCTATTCATTCCCCATCTACGTTGTATGTTATGTAAATACCCCTTCTCCCAGTTTGCTGACTATGCCCTGTACAAGATCAGGTGATATTATGAGCTTATCTTCATTTTATTTACTAGCTTCTATCACATCTCAGAATGGTGTGTGTAACAGAAGTTAAATCAGAGCCGGAAGAGCTAGCTATTTTTATGGCGGATGCTTCAAGGAAGGAGAGGGCCGGTTGGTATCAAGGCCCCATTTTCCCTGTAAATTAGTCAGGGCTCTTTGCAGCACAGGCAACCAAAAGTCCATTGTCTATCTGACACCCACTTTGTATTTGCTCTATGCTGCCTCCTGACACGTGAGTGCTGTAGCTTGACACCTAACGGAAGTGACAGATTCCATTCTGGAATTGCTAGCAAGTGTGTGGAGCTCTTCCTAAGCATCAAGGGCTCAGATCTCCCTATGGAGTTTACAGGTGGCCTTTGCATAGGGAAAACAGTGGTGCTGAGTAAACCACCACAGCCTGCAGCACTCCTGTTGGGCAAGCTGTGGACGGCTGGAATTCTGGATGTGGTATTCCTTCCAACTGAGGGACCGCATGTCTCACGAGAAAGGAGGCTAATGACCGCCTCCCACTTCCTCTTCTGAGATGCTGTTGCTAACTGGCACCACTAACTCTGCTTTTCACAGCCTTTTCATCTATCAAAGTATTGGTGTGAAGTGTATAAATGAGACTCATAAGAATAAAGACATGGTCTTTCAGCTAATTCTCTGCATACTGGAATACATGGATGGAATAAGCATGAACTTAAGTCTATAGTGTTCTGTCTTGAGTATGGTATCAGATAAGCACAGCAAGAGTTTCTACGCAATTTCCTTTAAAGAAGTGCTGAGTTGAAGATGAGCATAACAGAATTAGTGATGAGACCTTGTGTCTCCTTTCCAACAAATTTTGGTCCACTCTGTTATCCCAGATCTTCTACAACATCTAAAACATACCAAGTGCCCCTGTGTTGCGGGCAGTGTTCAGGAACTACGTGCAGAGTGGTCCCTCTAATCAGGAGTGTGTGTGTCTTTTGCAGTTGTGAAGACGACCTCTCAGAAGACAGAGATGAACTTCTGCATGGCATCTCAGAGCTGGACATTACCAACTCGGACTGTTTCCCATCCCAGCTACTAGTGCATGGGGCTTTGGCTTTTCCCTTGGGGCTAGATACCTACCATGGTTGTGTAATAGCGGCTGCCCGCTATGGCAAGGGCCGGGTGGTTGTCACTGGTCATAAAGTATTATTCACTGTGGGGAAACTCGGCCCATTTCTGCTCAATGCGGTCCGCTGGCTGGACGGGGGCCGCAGAGGCAAGATTGTGGTGCAGACGGAGCTGAGAACGCTAAGTGGTCTGCTCGCGGTAGGGGGTATAGACACCAGCATTGAGCCCCAGCTGACCAGCGATGCGAGTGTCTATTGCTTTGAACCCACAAGCGATGTGGGGGTTAAGGAGCTGCAGGAGTTTGTTGCAGAGGGTGGTGGGTTGTTCGTTGGAGCCCAAGCCTGGTGGTGGGCCTTTAAGAACCCAGGAGTGTCCCCTCTGGCTCGCTTCCCAGGAAACCTGCTCCTCAACCCTTTTGGCATCAGCATCACAAGCCAAAGCCTCAACCCAGGCCCCTTCCGCACCCCTAAAGCAGGAATAAGGACCTACCACTTCCGCTCCACCCTGGCAGAGTTTGAAGTGATAATGGGCAGGAAGAGAGGAAACGTGGAGAAGGGCTGGCTAGCCAAACTGGGACCAGATGGGGCAGCCTTCCTGCAGATCCCTGCAGAGGAAATCCCTGCTTACATGTCCGTGCACAGACTCCTGAGGAAGCTGCTGAGCCGCTATCGGCTCCCAGTGGCAACCCGAGAGAACCCTGTCATCAATGACTGTTGTAGGGGTGCCATGCTTTCCCTGGCCACAGGTCTGGCCCACTCTGGAAGTGACCTCTCACTCTTAGTCCCAGAAATTGATGACATGTACAGCAGCCCCTATCTGCGCCCTTCAGAGTCCCCAATCACCGTGGATGTCAACTGCACCAACCGAGGTAGGATGGCGGGAGGATGGAAGCTTAGTTTACAGCGGAGGTATTTAGGAAGTTTGAATTGCCTAATTGACACTATTCTTCACTGACTTCCTCTTCGGGAAGACAGGGGTTGGGTATTGGGAGAGTCAGAGCCGTGTATTGGGAAGACAGGGGTTGGGTATTGGGAGAGTCAGAGCAGTGTATTGGGAAGACAGGGGTTGGGTATTGGAAGAGTCAGAGCAGTGTCTTGGGAAGACAGGGGTTGGGTATTGGGAGAGTCAGAGCCGTGTATTGGGAAGACAGGGGTTGGGTATTGGGAGAGTCAGAGCAGTGCAGCTCCTTAACACCCACCCCTGGCTCTGCTACACTGTGACTACTGACTTCATGAGGGGTCTGTGCAGCACTGTGTGGAGCAGGGATGCAGTCTTCCCTTCCTGTGCCTTGGCAGGCACTCGATACTGCTGGATGAGCACTGGGCTCTATATACCTGGAAGGCAAATCATAGAAGTCTCCTTGCCCGAAGACGCTGCCTCTGCTGATCTGAAGGTAAGGCCATGCCACATCTCACACGCGTGATGCAGAATCCAAATGCCCTCGCTGTTCAGGTTGGCATTGTCTGCATAAAATGCCCCACTGGCAATTTGGATCAGTTTTTAAGACTTTTTTTTCCTTCTTAATGATGAGGAAACTCTGCTTTGATGCATAACAAGACATATCAAAGCGATACATTTTGGAGCCCAGGGACTTCTGTTATCATCTTGCCTCAGAATAGGTATCTCTGTTCTTAAAATTGGTTCTTATGACTTACGTCGTAGAGTGGGGACTAAGAGATATCATTGGAAGGTTGCCTGGCATTCTGTAGGTGTTCAGTTGGTGACTATTAGCTCATTTTCCATCTCGTAACTTAGGACATATGAACTCAAGAATTGCATGACTCCATGACTATCGTACATGACGTCATCAATGGTACAATGGGGTCATTGCCTAATGCCCCTTCCTGAGCCCACCTCCTATTCTCCCTTCTACCCATGCGCGCATACTCCATGTGACTGTGTTAGTGATTTCCCTGCTCCAGATCCAAATTGGCTGCCATACTGACGACCTGACCAGGGCCAGCAAGCTGTTCCGAGGCCCCCTGGTGATTAATCGGTGTTGCTTGGACAAGCCCATGAAATCAATCACCTGCCTCTGGGGCGGTCTCCTTTACATCATCGTGCCTCAGAATAGCAAGTTGGGTTCTGTGCCCATCACCGTGAAGGGGGCTGTCCGTGCTCCATACTACAAGCTAGGTAAGTCAGCACTACTAGGCGCATGTTAAGAAGGTAGGAGATGCTGGGCATGAAGTTGTCTCTGGGGCTGCTTAATAGAGACAGGTGTAGACCAGGGGAGGCAGGTGGTGAGTTTCTTTAAGTTCTGATTTGGTGCCAGGAAAAAAACAAAAACAAAATAAAATCATACCCATAGAGGCTTTCAAGAAGGATGGGGCTTTCTCCATCTTGGGTTCTTATCTGAGGTCTGAGTTGTACGTAAGTTGAAGAGTTTGAGAAAAGGTGTTTCAAGGTCTACTGCCTTTCTTCATAGGGGAGACATCCCAGGAAGAATGGAAGAGGCGTCTCCAGGAACATCCTGGTCCGTGGGGAGAGCTGGCCACTGACAACCTCATCCTGACTGTGCCAACTGCAAATCTGCGAGGTCTGGAGAATCCCGAGCCACTGCTCCGCCTCTGGGATGAGGTGATGCAGGCAGTGGCAAGGCTGGGCGGGGAGACCTTCCCTTTGCGTCTGCCTCAGAGGATAGTGGCTGATGTGCAGATCTCAGTCGGTAGGTATCCTGAGTGACGATCGGTTCCCAGGTACTTTCCTTCTTCCCACAGCCATGAAGGCAAAGAGAGCAAAAGCGTTTTTGTTTTGTTTTGTTTTTTGCTAGCAAGACACATAGGTATATCCTTTGCTGTCTAAATGGAAAGGGGAGAAATTGCATCAATATAAAAAGTAGCTTGAGTTAGCATGTCAAGAGATGTCATCAAAGAAATCAAGAGATGTCACCCGAGCTTTGCTAGGTTCCCCTAGCAAATATAGTGAAGGGCTTTGACTTAATCATAGTTGAGATTACTGGAGGGATCTGAGCTATTTGAAAATGAGCCAAGAAACCTAAATAGAGGGGGTGGGAGCAAACAGGGAAGCACCACAGAAACTTGTCTGGATCCTCACTTTGACATTGCACATTACATCCTGTAATGCCGTGTCAGTGTATCAAAGAATGGGGAAGGGTTAAAATTCCATAGCCTCACATGGGCACCACCGCCCGTCCCATAAAAGCAGGATGCCCACACAGCAGCATGAGTGGCCCTCGGCAACCCATACTCCCCAGGGCTCACGTCAGAAGAAAGGTTAAAATGTCACTGCCCAGGAAGGAAAACCTGGGCGGGTCTGGGCTTGGATGACCTCTTGGAACAGCAGGGATTTCTAGAAGGCGCCTGGGGGCTACTGTGTGTTTTGGCAAAAGAACAGTTCAGAGACGGGTTTAATGATGAGATGGGAGGAAGCTGACCCTGTCCTCTTTCTTCTGCGTGCCCAGGCTGGATGCACGCCGGGTACCCCATCATGTGCCATCTGGAGTCAGTGCAGGAGCTCATCAACGAGAAGCTCATCAGGACCAAGGGGCTGTGGGGCCCTGTGCATGAGTTGGGCCGCAACCAGCAGAGGCAGGAGTGGGAGTTCCCGCCACACACCACCGAAGCCACCTGCAACCTGTGGTGTGTTTATGTGCATGAAACCGTCCTGGGCATACCTCGAAGCCGCGCCAATATTGCCCTGTGGCCGCCTGTTCGGGAAAAGAGAGTCCGAATCTACCTGAGCAAAGGGCCCAATGTAAAGAACTGGACTGCTTGGACTGCGTTGGAAACATACTTACAGGTACAGGGAAAACCCGGGGGTGGGTGGGTGGGGCGGGGTGACGAGTGGGACCACCAAGGAAGGCCCCGTGGATAAATGATAAGCTAGCGCGCCTGGAAACCACCCACTCCGTCTGCCTGCCGCATTCCGCCACGTGAGACCCCGAGAGAGAGTCTAGGGATGACAATATGTAGTGATGCCTCTCGGTGCAGTACTTTGTAGGACCCCACTGAGACAGACCTCCCCTGCCTTAGTCGTGTCAAACACACCCCCGTAGGGAGGTAAAGAGAACAGAGCACTGAGAGATCTTGAGTCTGGTTGAGGCACATGGAGTACTCATAAATATACTCTACTCTCTGTGGCTTTAAAGCCAGACATGGCGACGATTGAAGCCAGCTTTTCCTACTTCACGGCCATCAAGCCGCCCTCCTCACACACTCCGTGACGGGTTGTGACCCAGTTTTTCCTTAAATGAGTATACAGCGTCCTTGTTATGGCTTAGCTTTGCCACAGATTCCACTGCGTGTAGGCAATCCAGGGCTCCTCTCTGCCTTGGAGGGGCTGGTGATTCACCTTGCCCTTGGACTGACTTTATATGCCCCACTTTTCAGGCCCAGTGCCCGGGTCACTCTGGGGAATGACATCATGTTGGACTGAAGCCCAGCATGATTTATTCTGGTTCTTTCACCTGTCCAGATCCTTCACAGACCATGCTCACCAATACAGTCTTCTTATGTGAGCTACATTGCTCATCCACAAAGTGAAGACGTGTTGGTTCTGATAACTACCGAGGGGCTCCTTAACCCCCAAAACCCTGTGACCCTGGCTAGCATGGGCTTGTCCCAATAGCCTCAAAAAGGTTACTTTTAAGCAGGCCCCACGACTCTGTCAAGCATGGACTCTTTCCAATGGCCACAGAAGATGACGACTTCTAACACTAGAGCTCATTCTTTGTTATAATCATCTAGACCGTCTTTAACCTTCTACCCCCAAAGGTCGTTTTTTTTCTTCCAGTGGCCTTATAAATTAATGTGAGCATGAATGACTCTTGTAGGAATTCTTAGGCTACTGGAATTTAACCTTGAAACTCCGTGAAAGACGGTGAGGATGGTTCCACCCCAGCCAGTTTTGAAACCCTGCCTTCTGATCACATTATTCTTTTCATGATCTCATGAGTGGGTAACCAGTGACAGTGGTGGGGAACCCTGATCATTGGCGCTGCCTCTATAACTGTACTCGCTGAGGGTCTGCCAAGCACTGTGTTGGCCTCGACAATTGTCTTAAGGTTAAGTAACTGAGAGAGTTGGGGCGTGAGGCCAACACACAAGACGGTCAGTAATGGATGCAGAGCTGAAGTTGAGCGGGTTGAACCGACTGACTCGTGTCGTGTGCTGGGCCCTACTTTTGTAGACTGGGTGGTGTGTCTCACCTGCTTTCAACTTCCTCCTTCTAGCTCCAGGAGGCCTTTGGCTGGGAACCATTTATTCGTCTCTTCACTGAGTACAGGAACCAGACCAACTTGCCCACAGACAACGTTGACAAAATGAATCTGTGGGCGAAGATGTTCTCCCAGCAAGTGCAGAAGAATCTGGCTCCATTCTTTGAGTCCTGGGCCTGGCCCATCCAGAAAGAAGTGGCTATCAGCCTATCCTACCTGCCTGAATGGAAGGAAAATATAATGAAATTGTACCTCCTCACACAGATGTAAGGAGTGCAGGTAGAGAGGTTTGGGGAGGTAGGCAGAGGTGGGGGTGTATTCCTCTACCTCTGGCTTCTAAAGTCTGGCTTTGTCCTCTTAGCTCATTGCTTCTGTGTCTCGCTCCTGACTTCTGTCTCTAGGAAGCGGGTTAGGAACACGGCACAAAGTGAAGCCAGAGTTTCTTAGGGACAAGGCCTGTGTTTACGAGCCCTGCCCCTTTGCTCCGGGAGAGCTTGGGAGTTTGTTTCTGTGCTGGCCATTGGGCCCTCTTGATGAGCCATAGAGGGCGCAATCCTTTTCTTGACCTCTTCAGGATAGCTATAAAGGTCTCTGCCTCTTGGGTGGTGACAGAGTATCTGGCTGATGTCTTTTTTTTTAAATTTAAATTTAAATTAGAAAGAACATTGCTTCACATGTCAATTCCAGGTCCTTCTCCATTCCCCTCCCCTGCCCTCCCACCAACCCCTCCAATATCCCCTCCTTTCCCCAGGGAGGGTGAGGCCCTCCATGGGGGTGTCCATAGTCTGTCATTTCATCCAGGGCAGGGCTTAGACCCTCCCCCCGAGAGTCCAGGCTGAGAGAGCATCTCTCATTGTTGTATGGGCACCCAAAGTCCATTTGTATGCCAGGGATAAATACTGATTTACTACCCAAGGCCCAATAGATTACCTAGGCCTCCTCACTGACACCCATATTCAGGGGATCTGCATCAGTCCCATGCTGGATTCCCAGCCATCAGTCTGGGATTCAAGAACTAACCCTTGTCAGGTCAGCTATTTTCTGGCTGATGGTTTTAAAGAAACTTATGAACTATGTGGTACACGCCAACTAAAGGGTTGCTTCATTTCTTGCTAACCCAATCTCTTTCACAGCTCCAAGATTACTATGAACCTTTTCCTCAGTAGACTCGTGCCCAAACTCTAGGTCTTCTACTGACCGTTTGTATGTCACTGCAAGATCCTTGACTTGCCCAATGCTCTGCGATCTCATTCTAAAAAATGGGAGCCATTTCATGTGATTATTGGGAGAACTGAGTTCCACAATGCCCCTAAAAGTGATTACAGCAGTTAGAGAAAATAACATTTGGCACTTTTGTTATATAATTAACCCAAAATAATTCTAAAGCTAGACTTCACTTTTAGCGGGTATTAACAGATGTAGTCATAGCCTTTTAATTTTTTAAACTGATACATGAAAATATAAAACCTGAATATATTAGTGAGCTACCATGTAATGTCTAATGTACGAATACATTTTTATACCTGAAATTTTTAAAAATACACATCTTCTCCAGCAACTATCATTTCTTCAGACCAAATGCCTTCAAAGTCATTTATAGTTTTTTTTTAATTTGAGATATACAGTGCATAGCTGTTACTGGGGCCAGAGAGAGGGTTCAGTGGGTAAAGACACCTGCTGCCAAGACTCAAGACCTGAGTTCAATCCTCAGAACTCACTTAGTGGAAGGAGAGACCCAACTCTTACGTGCTGTTCTCTGACCTCCACATGTGTTCTGTGGTACGCAAACACACTAAACGAATTTAAAAGAAATAATTGCTACCTATCCTACCCTATCCTACACTACACTACCAGCCTCTAAGATTATTTTGGTACATTGCCTTACGAATCTGAAGAAAGGATTGGAAACTCACAGAGGAGTTTTTGATGGTGGTTGGAGATCGGCCTCTCTATTTAGGCAGGGCGGGCTGACTTCAAACGTCTGGTCTTTCATCCTCAGCCTCCAAGTGTTGGTGTAACAGGTGTGCCCAGCCATGCCCAATTCACAATGCAGTCCTCTTTTCTTTTGTCTTTCACAGCTACTTATATCTGACCTCTTGACCCTGTTCTTCCAGGATGAATTCCTCCCTTGACAGAATTCAGAGTAGAGATCTTGATGAAAGCCACAACAATCATAAGATAGTGTTTGGCCTTGGCCAACAATAGATACTCAGCTTTTGTTATATTCACACAGTGAGATTCAAGATACAATTGCTGTCAAGGGTTAATGATTACACACACAGAAAACTTCACTTTGGGACAAGATAACTCCGAAGAGCTAACCCAACTTTCGTTTAATTACTACACATTCAGAGATCTCTTGGTTTTCCCCATTTTCATCTAAAGTTTCTTTCATGGTTTTCATGAATGTTTACCTCTAAGATTGATGTTGGGTACAACCAGTTTTCCCACTTATTTTCAATTTATTTTAGTCTAATCTATTTTATCTACCTAGTCAATTAGTGGATGAATGCATAGACTATAAAATGTGTGTGTGTGTGTTTCTTTATCATGCAACTTCTCAGTCCTAGATTTATTTCATGTATGTTTATCATTTAGGCATTTTGAACACAAACATTCAATGTTTAAAATAATTATTATCAGTTATAAGGTATTGAGTACATGCCAGGCATTGTACTGGTTCCCATATACAGGTAATCTTATGAAGTGGAAATTATTATCACCCTGATTTTATGAACAAAAGAACTGGATTTATGGAGATTAAGTCAATATATGTGAGACTCCACTGCTGGTAAGTCATAAGTATATGATTTTGAAGGCAAGCATTCTGATTGCAGATTGGGTATTCATAATTACGATGCATTGAATAACCAAATAAAGAAACAAACCAGTAACCTAGCACATTTATACTTCTGCTAGCCAGAGCCTGGGTGCTTCACTTAGCCCTTACCTAACCTCAGCGGGATAAAAAGTGTCTCTGATTCTCCATAGAGAGGAAGAATTTACATCAAACTCCTAAAGTGCTTCCCAGGTAGAGAAGTGAGTGAGCCATTAGTATCAGGAACCTCCCTAGTTTCTGGTTACTCAGGTACTTTGCTACCTGAAAGCACTTTTTGGTTTATTGGATTTTGAATCATGAGCTAATTTGGTGAAGTACCTGACTTCCCAAAGTCCCAGATGCTTCTTGTTTGCAGAGAGAAAACTGGATCCTCAATCTTTTAGAATAAGCTTTTCCCTTTCTCGCCTGCTTCCTTTAATCTGTTTCTATTCTCATCCCACACCCTTTGACCTGCTTTCAGCAGTAAAGCCCGGGATCTCTTCACTAAAGTTATCTGAGCTATCCCCCTGCCAAAAGCTTCCAGTGCTTTTAAGATGACGGACTAAACATATAAGTTTGCCTTCCCTCCTTTCCCAGGCCCCACTGAAACTGAAGTGAAGGACTACAACAGAGAATTGAGACTGCTCAGCAAAGGAAGCTGAAAGCATTTGGTTGGAGAAGATCTCAACGCATTTCTGGAAGAGATGATGTAAATGAAGCTTGATCCTGAATGGGAAACATGACAGCCCATTTCAGAAAGAACACACTGATCTGACCGTTGTAACCCCAAAGAGACTTGAGAACTAGAAAAGTCTAGCTACTAAATAATTGTACCAGTTGTAAATTGACGCCCATCCTACTCCGCCCCAACCCTTGTACATATAACACAGAAAATCTACCATTGGTACCAGGGAAGCTGTTATTGTTATTGTTGTTTGAATAAAGGAATCAAATGACCCACCTGAGGAGAGGTAAGAATTAGTGCTCCACATGATATTCTTTTCACGGAAATGAGTGGCCCGCTAGCCTGTCTGATAATTTTCTTCTGAGAGTTGAGACCCCTATTCACATATCCACGGCTTCTAGTCATGGCAGATTTGCTGGAGAAACAGGAGTCCTTTAAAAAGACAATACTTAACACAGCTTCTTAATGTGGGTTTCCTGGTAGGAATTCCAAGCATGGGAGGAACCAAGGGAGACTCACAAAAAATAACAACTTAGATGTACAAAGGTTGAAAAATATTATAAAGTAAAGGAAACAAAATTCATACAGGGAAAAAAAATCCTTAAAATTCTGTCCATCTCTCCAGAGAGATTTAAGGTGTATTTGTAAGATAATATGCTGAGACAATTCTGAACATTTTAAAAGCAAAACAAGACTGCCAAAAATATTCAGGAGATAGGCTGGAAAATGAAATAGAATGGATCTCCCCATATACACAACAAAATGAAATAACAAACAATAGTAAGGAAGGAAAGAGAAATATGCAATCACCGTTTAACCACTACGAGTTCCCAGACAGGACATAGATAGCATGGGTGCACAGAGAAGAAGAAAGACTTGAGAAACACCAGATTGAGGGGACCCAATACCAATGACATCTAGGTACAGTGCTAAGAAAACTTGGAATCGTAGGGTTAGCGAGAACATATTCAGAATGTTCAGGGAAGGGAAAACAGGTCAATCAAACCTAGAGGGGAAGAGTCTGGCAGCTTCAGCAGCAGCACTGAATACTACAAGTCAAGGGAACAATGGATTTACTTTTGTTCACTTTTGAAAACTTTTGTTTCCAGAATTCCATGTAGAGCAGATTGACAAGAGTAATGTAAAAATAAAAATACCTTTCGGCAGGTGAGTTTTTAGAAACCCTCTTTCCCTCCTTTGTACTCTCATTGAGGAAGTTTTCCATTTAAAAAAATGAGGATGAAAGTCCCCAGGAAAGGAGGAAAGAGGTCGTGGACACCAGCGGACCTCACGCAGGTTGTCTCAGTATGGAGTGGGAGTTATCTAATAGACCCACTTCAGAAGAGAACACAGCCTTGGGCTCAGAGAAGAATGTGCCAGAGTAGTACTGAGTAAATGAGACATTTGGAGACATGGAAGACATCCAGTCCTTTATCACAAAAATGAGTAATAATATGTGAAGAAATTTAAGTTCCACTGTGAGGGGAAATAGAGTGGGGTAGGGTTTCGCATGAACAATGAGAAGAGACTTGATTGGCCGTTGGCAGTAGGTAAATAAGTTCCCTTTCCAGCGGGACAGGCACCACGACGTCTAGGAGTCTAGGAATATGTATATTTTCCACCTGGATCAGTAAGAAGCATTTTAATAGCCAAAATAATGTAGATGCCACTTATAGATCTTCAGTGTTCTGATCCACCTGCGAACGAAGACCAAAAGGCTAAATGTTTCACCCAGAACAGAAGTGGGAAGTGATGTCAGCCAGCTGAGTGGAGACTGGACTGGTTGGGAGAAGAGAAACAGAAGGACGAGTGGGCCTGCTTGGATAGTCCAAGCGGGATTGAACAGACACCGTCCTCAATGAATAGAACATGGCCACATGGTTAGTGTCCCGGTCAATGCTGTACATCAGACCCTCGAAAGAATTAAAAATGACAAATCTATCAAACATTTGGAGAAGGGCAGGCAGGAGAAAGGTGGAGATGGTGTATGTTAAATCCTTATCTTTTGTAATGGTGAATTATTAAAGACTGTCTAAAGTTAATAAGTCAAGAGATTATTGTTCAAACATGTTATTTAAAAGTAGGAAGCTAGCCACCAGATATTGTTAAAAAAAATCCAGGAAATGGAATTACAGAAGGAGGGTGAGGTGGGAAATCGTGTTTTCATTTCAAGTTCCTCTGTACTATTTAATTTTTTACCTTGTGCATGTATTATTTGGGAAAGTTTATAATAAACTGAAATAAAACATCCTTCAGAGGCTTCATAATGACTAAGATGTGGCTGAACCAAAACTATTGACGAGCTCTCAAGGGCAGCGAATGTTGGAATTCATCTGATGTGCCAGTCTAAGTGGTCACAAGTCCCCTGTGACTGTGCAATTCCAGCCACTCTTACATGACTCAAGCCCACCTAACCTGCTCTCATTGCTACAGATACTCTACAAAACGCAAAGCCTGCTGCTGTCCTCACATGTCTTGTGATTAAGCTTCCTGTCTAGCAGGCTTGCAGTATTTTCCGAATGAAGGGGTGTTCAAAGGAACATTGGTATTAGATTGCTAACTACTGCTCTCTCCCGAGGCCCTGGTAAATGAAGCACTTCATGGAGAAAACCAAATAGGATGTTAAAGGCGTTCTGTTCTAGTCATTCACTGACTTTAACAAGTTTATCCTCAGATGGGTCAGTTGGTATGGGAAAATTCCTGCCCATTTTCTCAGTCCCTTTGGTCTGGCTTCAACCAGTGTCTGTCCATTATGATCTACTTTTCAGCTATTTTCCCCCTTGCACTTGGAGGAAACCATCTTCGTACTAGCACGTGTTTTAATCTGCTATGTGACTTGAGATTTAGCTTGGATGCATTAGGAGAGGGTGGAAAGAGATAAGGGCTTTCCTATGGCTATGATGCTCAGCCAGAATCCCCCTAAAGTGGATATAAATAACACTTGTTTCTGGTTTTGGAAAAGTTGCAGCTACTCAAGTTACATAAGACAGAAGGCTGTCAGTATTTTGTGGGTTGCTCAGACAACTTATTTTTGTTTCATGTTATGGTATTCTCAGAATGATCTGGTGGTGCGTTAGGAACTTGTTTATCTACAACAGGAGAGTGTGGTCTGACTGAGCATGCAACCAAGATCCCTGAACACCCATGGCTTTCACAGAGCAAGAGTCTTTGCTCCTCAGACAGTGGTTCCAATCTGCATTCCTTTTTAACTAAGCACAAAGCACACATTTTTAAAATGAGTATAAGCTACACAAAAGGTACTGTGGGCAAGGACTGTCTGCTTGGTAAACCAAAATGAAACTGGATTGGTGTCATCTTTTCTGAGTTGCTTGTTGGAAGGTTGGAAGCATCCTCACATCCCAAGTACAAATTCTCTGGACCTTTCCTGGAGAAAACAGTGCATTTGGGGTAATAGTCTTCACTCCCTTGGGAGAGATAACTATGTCCCTAGGGTCCATGAACCCTCCACCCAGAGATCGGTTTCATAGATATTCATAAAATCCACTTGCAGACCACTATAATTGAACCACATGGAAAGAACTGAAAGTCAGATTAAACCTGAATGTTCATTTCCCTTAGACTATGGTGTGTATGTGTGTGTGTGTGTGTGTAATCTAGTATATATAAAGGATAGTAGAAAACATTTTCTTCAGTACCCAAATTACCTCACTGAATTTACAGACTGTGTGTGATAGGAAACTAAGCTGGTAAAAGTTTTGGCTTCATTTGACTTTCAACTTCTCTGAAAAAAAAATAACAAATTGAACCACAAGGATAATTATCTCTCCAAGTTAAATCAAAACTACTTCATCTGGAGAGTCTAGAGGGATGTCTCAGCAGTGAGGAGCACTTGATACTCTTCCAGAGGGCCAAAGTTCAATTCCCAGGACTCACTTGATAGCATATAGCTGTCTGTAACTTTAGTTCCAAGTGATTTGATGCCCACCCCCCTCCCCATTTCAAGCCTCTGCAGAACCACGTCCACACATGGTAAACAGACATACCTGCAGGAAAAGAACCCATAAACATCCAAAATACTGTGAAAAGAAACACTCATAGATCATATATTTGGTGATTTTGAGCAATAGCTACCCAAAATTTGAGTAGTCTCACAAGCAAATTCCTTTGTACATGTTTATGTGCATCCACCACAATTGTTCAAGGGCCTAGAAATATAAGTAAATAAAACAAATGTCTTGCTAGTCTAGTTTCCTTTCTGTTGCTGTCATAAGACACTCTGATCAAAAGCAGCTTGGGTAGAAAAGCGTTTATTTGGCTTACACTTCCAAGGCGTAATCCATCATTGAGGGAACTCAGTACAAAAACTCAAGCAACAACTTGAAGCAGAAACCATGGAGGAACCCTGACTGCTGGCTCTCTCTCACTGGCTCGTGCTCAGCTAACCTTCTTATGCAGACCAGAATCACCTACCTACCCAGTGAGTGGTACCATCCTCATGGGCCGAGTCCTTTGCATCAAACAATAATAAAGGCCACTCTGATGTGAGCAATTCCTCAGTTGAAAGTCCCTCCCCAGGTGACTCTAAGCTATGCACAGTTTAGGCAAAGTTGACTAGGGCACAGATGCTCATGGTGCTATGGTCTAATATGAACGTAAACATTCTAAAAGAAGATGTGATGGTTGATGTATGAAGTACTGTGAAGTAAAATACTGTAGATAAGGATAAGAAAGTGAATTTCTGGGTGGGACACTTAAAATGAGCACACTTGCTATCTTATGTAATGTGGTCTAGGGAAGCTTCTGAAGGTGGTGTTTAAGCTGATTCTCAAAAAGGATGATGCAGCACACCATGTAATTAACTCACAGCAAAGGGAAGTAGAATTATATGAAGCACGCTGAAGAAACACTAAAGCAGACACTTTGGAATGGCATCACCAAGTAGCTGCTTTCACAGATGTACAACTGTTTCCTGATATTTATTTTTATCTATGTGCGTCTGTATATATCTGTGAATGTGTGTGTGTATGACACGTGTATTCAGGTGCCCGTGGAGACCAGAAAGGGACATCAGATGCCCTGGAGTTATAGTTACATTGAGTCACTGAACATGAATGCTGGGAATTGATTTCTGGCTCCACCTTGAGAGCAGCAAGCAGTCTTAATGCCCAAACTATCATTTCAGCCCCACCAGATGAAAGTCTTGAATACAGAAGTCTGGTGTGACATTAGTGGGACCCACTGACTATTATAGTTGAAGTACAAATGGCCCCACCCAAAGAAATACTCCTGTGTTAAAGGCTTGGACTCAAACTAACTAGGTGCCTTTAAGAGGAGGGACATAATAGAAATTTGTTCATTAGGGATGTGGCCTTAAAAGAGGTGTTGGAAGTTTGATTCCTCCCTCTCTCTGTTTCCCAGATGCCATGAGAATCACAAGTATGCTATACTACATATTCCCTGCCGTGATATTCTACCTCATCAAAGCAACAGATCATAGGCAGAAGTGTCTGAAACTTTAAGCCCAAATAGACCCTTCCTTTATTCATGTTTATCACCTCAGGTATCTTGTTACAGCAATGCATAAGTGACCGACACAATGACCTGGTAAAAACTCACAACTTTTGCATTTCAGTCATGAAACTTCAAAATGAAATTGTATCTTTCAGTAAAGTTTTTGGCCTCTCCACTCTGAAATTATTGTCTGATAGGGGGAAAAGTGGGTTCATTTTAGTGATTGCTTTGTCTTCTGCCAAAGTAATGAATGGAAACACAACTCTATACCTTAACACTAATCTCTAGTCCCTCATCAATGATCTGATGCATTCAGAGAAAGATAGCTCTATACCTTAACACTAATCTCTGGGCCTTTATCAATGATCTGATACATTCAGAGAAAGAGAAATTTCAACCAAGTGCATATGAAGACTGATTAAAAATATGGTTCAGTTTGCTCAGCAATGAAATTTTAGTTGTACTTATTGGAGCTCATCTGAACAAAAGATTAGAGTGCTGGGTAACTCAGGCCCCATAACTCTAGGCTTCTCATTCCATATCCATTTTCATTCTACTGACCAGATTGATGACTATTTGGCTTCAGCTGGAATTAAAGACACCCATGATCAGAAATCTCAGTATAATAGGAGACCCTGAGAAGGAATGATTTTAATATCATAAGAAACTTTGAGAGATAAATCAATAATTGTTCTCAGAAAAAAATAACAAAGTGCTAGTTTTGCATGTACATAGGCATTAACTTATTCATTCTCTTTGAGAGTTTTTTTCCATAGAATCAGTGTTTTGTAGTGCTGGGGTAGAACAAAGAAGCTTGAGCATGGTTAGGTAAGCAGTCTATCCCTAAGCTACTATCCCTATCCTTCTTGTGGGGACACTGACCATCAGTGAGTCCCAAATCCCACCCTCTAGCCCTTCTGATATCTCAATGTCTTCAGCCTTAATAAGATTGTGTATGAAAATGTATATGAAGATATGGGCATCATATCGGTCTTGTTGATTAAAGATAATTTGTCTACTGTGCCTTGTGAATGTAATATTTCAGAAACATTAATTGTTACTGACTTAATTTTGCTGGATCCCCAGACAGTTTAAGTTTTCAATAGAATACTAAAGTTTATATATGACCTAGAGGTAGTAGAGTTTACAGATGTATGACCACCCTTGTCTCTTGTTAGAGGAAGAAATATAGGCAGTAATCTATATCTCTGCAGCAGTCATGTGTTCTAATCCGTCACTAGAGTATTAGTGGCACCCCCGACAGATGTTTCACATACATCTAATTCAAGCAAACAAAAAATGTAGGTCCTAATTAATTTCACAAATCTTCCAAAGAAAAATATGAAAGCTTTCCTATCTATAACTTAGGACAGGTCACCTGTCAAAAGGAGCAAAAGAGTCCAGGTTCATTGTTTTCAATTAAGCAGATTGCTTCTTGCCCTTGGAACAGACTGTGAAATAATATGAATAAAAGTTGCCACAAATGTAGCAGGAAATGAAATGTGAAATAGTGAGTCTTCCATGAGTATGCTCCAGTTAATATTTTCCCTCTTTGGTCCTATTAGAAGACAACTTTAACAAATACCCTTGAGGGTCAGACTGTGTGAAGCTCTATTTATAACAGTGCTTATACTATTCTGTCTCCTCTAAGTGGAAGAAGCCAAGACAAGGTCTCATGTGTTAGACATTTATTAAGGGAAGTGGCTGTTAAATAATGTGAAGAGTGAGCCAGAGGAGGCTGGGAGCAGCAGTAGACTACACTGTACGAGATCTTGCAT